AACACAACAAGAAAACGAAAAAGAAAAAGAAAAAAGGAAAAAACCTGACGATTAGTAATTAGGAAGTACATTATTTTTGTCGGTCGAGAGATTTTACGCGGCATAATTTTATAAAGGAAGAAAAAACGACATCAGTCTTTCGATATAATCATCAATATAAGTATGTACATTTTTCCCCTTTGTCATCATGAGTGACTATAATGGAGTCACCGGTGAATAATCATCTAATGAAAAGTTGGAAATTTTTTATTGACTTACTGTAAACGCCTATGATTCGGAAGTAAAACGTAATAGTGAGTCATTAAAAAGCGTAGGCAAAAAATATTAATAAGCAACATAATTTCATTTCTCAACTATACGGTATAAATAGATGAGCATTAACAGGGTTTAGCGACATAAGAACGCGAGCTTTAAACATTTTTCTTTCTCTCACGTTGCTAGTCCTAATGCTTATTAGAATTAGTGGGTGTGAGTAATCTTATCTGATTTTAAGTTTTGCACACAAAAGGCTTCACGAAAATGCTTGTTATTTTATTTCTCTATAGATATTGAACTATTCTGCGCTCAAATAGTACAATTTGTTCAACAACAAAATTGATAAGAGATGGGCAGCTCATATTCCTCTGGAATACCGCATTTAACAGCGGATATTCACACAAGTGATGGCAAGGAGTTTAAAATATCATACCATGCTTTAGTTGATCATATACTATTGCTGCGTCAAGTAATCAAGCATTCCGAAATATGGCAACAAGAAAAAAATTTGAATAGTTTTATTAAAGATTATTGTAGACGCATGGCCTATCAAACATTTACAACTCATCGTCAACAACGAAGGCTTCCATGGCAAATCGAATGGATTTGGCATGTTCATCGTCTGCATCCAATTGCTTATAGCAATGACTGTATTAATCAACTACCAGATCATAAAGTTGTGGATAAAAATTACACAAGATTAAGAATGAAAAAACATCAACATTATCATTCGTTTGTCCCGTTCAAATCTATAAAACACCGATCTAAATTTGTTCCATCGCTTGATCTGGCAAGTGCTGTACTTCGCCAAATTGATTTCCTACAAAAACTTCAGAAACATAATCTGTTTTCAATGAATTTGCAGACGATGAAACGAGATTCGTTTGAAAAAATGGTACAGAATTATGTTTCATTTGTGAAGTTAGCTAACAACAATGGAATTATTGTACCAACATTTGAAATTGATTTGATATGGCATACACATATGAGATTTCCCTCAAGTTATCAAGAAACTTCAATAGCCTTATGTGGCTTTCTTCTTAACCATGATGATTCTGTTGAAGACAACGTACTAACTGACGGTTATCAGAAAACAGCTGATCGATGGAAGTCGACTTATAATGTAGATTATGGTAAAAATATTGATAGAGATAATCTAAAAACATCACAGTATCTCAGCTCCTGTGCAATGATAATAGCACCGATTTTTACATATCCACCAAGTGGCTATGTAAGTAATGCTGGAAATGATATTGGCGCTAGCTGTGGTGGTGGTGGTGGCTGTGGAGGTGGTGGTGGTGGTTGCGGTGGCGGTTGTGGTGGTTGCGGTGGAGGTTGTGGTGGTTGTGGGGGATGATTGACGCTGATACTGTATCTTAATTAATAATCAACACAGAGACTAATCGTATTTATTTTTGTAAAACTTTCAAATCGTGGAACTAAAATGTTCATTGAGCAGTCGTTCTAAATGTGAAACTTTCAGATAATAAATGCATAAAACAAACTTAATAATTTTTTCGTCATTGTCTCGCTTCTAATCGAATCCAACAGTTTTAGGGAGTTATAACACGTTTATCTTGTAAACACCAATTTTCTTCTAATTTGTTACTATGTACCACCGTATACTCTTTCAGTAAACGTATCAATGTTAATTTAATAATTGATATAGCAAAACGCATGCCAATACATTGGCGTGGACCTAAGCCAAATCCGAGGAAAGTGGATTGCGATTGTTGTGTAATATGACGATCAGGATAGAATACGCCTGGATCCGTTGGCCCCCATAGGTCCAAAGAATAGTGGAGTGAATAGACATCAGCTTGAACGATATCATATAGAAAAATTATAGAGGAAGAGGACAAAATCTACAATGATGGATGTTGGACGCAATATTGAGTGAAATTCTTAAGAAAGTCCTCAATGACAAATAGATTGTTTTACCTTCCATCAAGATCCCATTTTCATTTCTTTGAACAACATTGTCTCAGTCGTCTCAGAGAGTGAAAATACTTCGAACCTCGTCAAAAAACGCTTTTTTCTCTCGATATAATGTTAGTAAAATCTCCCAAAATTAACGGGGACAACTTTTTTCAATAGATATAGTTTGAAACTATTGCATTTGAAAAGCGATTAGAGAGGTATATAGTTGATCCACAAACCACATTTTGTTTTTTAATTTCACTTTCTACATACCTTTTTCAATTTTAAATTGTCTTCCATGTTCATCTCTTCTTCCTCTGGATGAGCCGCTAAGATATAAGTGAAATAGGCCATAGTCGCTGTTGTAGGTTCGTAACCAGCGATAAGAAATGCAGAAACGTTTTGTAAGATTTCACCATGAGATATCGAGCTATTCTTTGAAGAGAAAAAAAAGAGAGGCATGGGATTATTAAAACTGATTTGAGCCTGAACCGTCCATTCCGAAGTCCTCAAAGTTACTATATTCAAAACATGATGTGTTACCTTATCTGTAGCTTTCAATAATAAATGCACTAAATCAAATTTTTCATCATCGTAACGACTTTCTACGCCTAGATCAACAATTTCTCGAATTTTTTCTCTGATCCAATATCTTGGAAATTCACCAAATTTGACAGAAACGACGTCGAACCAAGTAAACAAGTTAATTTCACCCATAGAGATTGTGTAATATCAATTGCAAAGATCTCTTCAACTTTTTGATAATATTCTTCGGAAGACGTATCCAAACCATAGCAACAGGAACAAATTATATCAAATGTAAGACGTTTGTAGAAAGTTTGAAGAGGAAATGAGTGACACAAGAATTCATGTAGGAAAATAGATCCTAGAAAAATAGAAATCAACTTCTATTACAGTTTTTCAAGTCAATAGGAGAATCTAGTTGATTGTCATCTAATAAAAGTAGTTCGACATTTGTTTGTGCGCAGTTTTGTTTTCAATTTTTTGTGTATAGACTCAAGAATCCAATATATCTCCAGTCTATGATGGAAGCCTATCCTACATTAGAAGCCCATCGCGAGAGTCTAACTTATAAAACACAAGAAGAGAAGTTTTTGAAAAATTTTCTAACCCATAAGAAGCTCAATAGCATTTTGATTCATCCTGCGATTTACTTACATCTTTGATTTTGCCCTAAAGTTAACTCTATAGCACCTATGAACTTACCTTTAATTTCATTGTTGAAAATATTGTATTCATTATTTTTCTCTATCGTTTCCACTTCTCAGTTTTTGCATTCAACAGACTTGGATACTTTTCATTTGAATTAAGAAAAATTGCAATTGGTTTACGTGATGTAAAGTGTGAATATTGTCTAATAAATACATCTTCCAGAAATGTCACATCGCTGATAATCCAAACCCGTTGACGAGCACCTTCGTAGAGACCGTGGATTGGTCCAAAATTTTTGATTCAAAGTTGAAGTTGTCGACTAATACTTTGACAGTTCCATAGTTGACGTAGATTACCAACGAAGAGTGAAGTATGAGGACCAGGAACTGAGCGCGAGGAAAAGTAACGAAATGAACGAATTTGATGATAGAGAATCAGAAAAATTGCGAGTAAAAATAATGTAAGAAACATTTTTTTTTGTGCAGTAATGGTAAGAAATATAAGTAATAGAAAGAGAAATGAAAAAAAACCGTGTATGTGCTTAGAATGTAGGATGATAAACAAAATCTTTTTTTACCTTGTCATGCACTGATATCAGCAAATGACGTCATATTGCACGCCTTTTACATGTAAAACAGGCTTCGTTGTCACACCCAATGGCGTTATCAATGCATTTCTGCGAGGAGTGGGCATGACTGTAGGTATTATATTTATTTGTATTTAACACATACACCCACACCCTCCTCAATCATTTTGTATTGCCTTTTTGTTGTCCACCTCGTTAATGACACTTTATATATGCTCATTTCATCCTATTGAGTTAAGTTGAGAAGTGCTTTCTATTCATGTTAAACTTTATAGATGCCTATTATTATCCATTTCTGTTCTCAACAAGATCAGAGTTTCTTTGTACGCGTGCACACTTGAAATAATTCTTTTCTCATTTAAAAAATTTTGTTCTTTCCCTTTCACAAAAAAATTCATAATAATATAGTTTATTATTTGTTTTTTACATCTTTGAGCTTATTTCTATACATCTGAAGATCCGGATGATTTAAAGGTAATGATTGTTCTCCGATTTGTATAGCATGTTCATAAAAGGTGCGGGCTTTTGGGTAATTACCCATGCTGTCATGCACTACACCAATGTTCCCGCATGAAGCAAGCAAACATGGATGATTAGGAGGAAGTGATCGTTGTCGAATTTCAAGAGCTTTTTCGAGAAATGAAAGTGCTTCGGGGTAATTACCCATGTATTTATGCACTGAACCAATGTTGTTGTAGGTAGTAGCCAAATCAGGATGATTGTCAAGAAGTGATTGTTGTTGAATTTCAAGAGCTTTTTCGTAAAATAAAAGTGCTTTGGGATAATTACCCATACTGTAATGCACTGAACCAATGTTGCTGTAGGAAGTAGCCAAATCAGAATGATTGGAAGAAAGTGATTGTTGTCGAATTTCAAGAGCTTTTTCGTGAAATGAAAGAGCTTCGGGATATTTGCCCATACTGTCATGCACTGAACCAATATTGCTGTAGGAAGTAGCCAAATCAGGATGATTGAGAGGAAGTGAGTGTTTACTGATTTCAAGATCTTTCTCATAATAAGAAAGTGCTTCGGGATAACTACCCATGTTATAATACACATTACCAATGTTGTTATAGGAAATAGTTAAACTAGGATGATTGGGAGAATGTGATTGTTGTTGAATTTCAAGGGCTTTCTCGTAAAATAAAAGTGCTTTAGGATAATTATCCATACTGTCATACACCTCACCAATGTTTGCGTAGAAAGTAGCCAAATCAGGATGATTGGAAGGAAGTGATTGTTGTTGAATTTCAAGGGCCTTTTCGTGAAATGATAGTGCTTCGGGATAATTAGCCATGCTGTTATGCATTGAACCAATGTTGTTGTAGGATATAGCCAAATCTGGATGATTGAGAGGAAGTGATTGTTGTCGAATTTCAAAGGCTT